TAGATCACCACCAAAGGGAGAATAAAGAAACATTTGTAATACCTTAACTAATAAAGAATTTAAAGATAAAAAAAAAAAGAAATGATACATTCTTAATTTGTTTCAGATTACCATTACTTAAACTATAACCATTAAGAGCTTTACAAAATAAAATGTTGGAATGCATCTTTTTTAATTGAATTGAATTTATTGGGTTGACATTGGTTAAAAAACCCCTACAGGTTTCAAGTGTACAACTCAATAAATCATCTGCACACTATATTGTATACCCATCACCCAAAGTCTCTTTCTGTTCCCATTTATCCCATTTGCCCTCCCACCTCCTCCAACACCCTTCCCTCAGGCTATCACTATACTGTTGTCTGCGTGTTATGTGAATATATATTTTTCTTTTTTTGCTTAATCTCTTTACCTTTTGTTTCACCCCGCCAAAATGTACCCTTTTTTAATTTAAGAAAACACCTTATTTGTTTTCCTCTTGAATACAAAAGTACAGTGCATGGTCATTATCAAAAGCTGGAAAAAAAGGTACAAGAAAGACAATAGACTGTAATCCTTCTATAAGAAGATAGGCAAACTGTTTTAGTATCTGTGTGGTCTTTTGCCTTTGCATATGTTTGCCTATTTTTTAATACAAAAGGTTCAAACTATGCATACTGTATTGCAATTTTTTATGTATCAGTAACACCTTTATTTTTAAATTACTAAATACTGTCACAAAAATTATTTGTAAAGTCCATATAGTATCCCATTATAATGCACAAACCATAATTTAACCAATCTTATTTATTGTTGGTGGATTTTTTTTAACCTCAATATTAAGATCACTGACTAATTTTGTTTACTTCCTTTATTCTTGTTATGAGTATAATTGATAAAACAGATTTAAAAATTCCCAGAACCAGAATATAAACTAGAATATTCGATTCCCTGAGGGCTAGAATCTTTGTCCATCTTGTTTACTGATGTAATCCCAAGTGTATATAGATATCCAAAAAATATTTGTTAAATAAATAAAAAATCGGCCCAGCCCTATGGCTCAGTGGTTGAGTGTCGACCTATGAGCCAGGAGGTCACGGTTCGATTCCCAGTGGAGGCATATGCCTGGGTTGCAGGCTCCATCCCCAGTGTGGGGCATGCAGGAGGCAGTTAATCAATGATTCTACCTCATCATTGTTGTTTTTATCTTTCTCTCCCTCTTCCTTCCTCTCTCTCTAAAAATAAAATTAAAAAAACGTATTAAAAAAAATAAACAAAACAAAAAAATCTGCAAAGAATTTCATTTTTTAGTTAACCACTTACCTCCATCTTTACCCTTCACAAAACTTTCCCATTCTCTAAACCACTGCATACTGATGCAATAAAAAGTAGCTGGAGAGTCCTCCTCTTGGAATGCTCTGTTAAGCTATATGTAGGGAGGAAAAAATCAGTCACCTAATATTTAGAACTTGCTTTATAGCAGAACAATACAATCATCCTACTTCAGTCTCTGATAAAGCCAGTTTCTCATACACGAAGAATATGTACACTGACGCTAAGTTATTTTAGTACTAGCATACATGACAACATCTATTAAAAAACAATTCTAGCCCAGCAGGTGTAGCTTAGAGGTTGAGCGTCAACCTATGAACCAGGAGGTCCCTGGTTCAATTCCTAGTCAGGGCACATGCCCAGGTTGCGGGCTGGGACATGCAGGAGGCAGCCATCATTGATGTCTGTCTCTCTGTCTCTCTCTCTCTCTCTCTCTCTGGTTCAATTCCTAGTCAGGGCACATGCCCAGGTTGCGGGCTAGGACATGCAGGAGGCAGCCATCATTGATGTCTGTCTCTCTCTCTGTCTCTCCCCCTCTCTTCCATTTTCAAAAAATAAATGGAAAAATATCCTCGGGTGAGTATTAACAAAAAAGAAAAAAAAATCTGATAATAAATTTTATCTAAACATACAATAGCCACTGTCTATGTATTACTTGTGTTCACTTAAGATACTGTGGACATGTTGCAATTACAAATACAATGCGGCAATGAATGATCTTATCTATGTCATTTCACAGGCAATATACATATATGTATAGGATAAATTCTCAAAAGTGGTGGTACAGACCCCAAAGATGTTCCACTCCTTCCTCTAGTCCTAAGACCTAAGGAATGGGTATGTGACTCAACCAAGGAAAAACTCTATTAGAAATGGAAATCTTGCCCTGACCGGCTTGGCTCAGTGGATAGAGCATCGGCCTGCGGACTCAAGGGTCCCAGGTTCGATTCCAGTCAAGGGCATGTACCTTGGTTGCAGGCACATCCCCAGTGGGGAGTGTGCAGGAGGCAGCTGATCGATGTTTCTCTCTCATCGATGTTTCTGACTCTCTATCCCCCTCCCTTCCTCTCTGTTAAAAATCAATAAAATATATTAAAAAAAAAAGAAAAGAAAAGAAATGGAAATCTTCAGAGAAGTGACCTAATGGTTAGAAGGGGGTCTTTCCAATGCCAATTTTGTTAGCTGTATACTAGGAATACCTTGGTTCCTGAATTTCTGGAGGTGTAGCTATTCAATTTTTCTTTTATTATAGGTTATGTCTTAAATTTTAGCAAGTACAAACTGAAGGGATATAAAAGATTGGATAGGTTAAGACATTCAAGGCAAAGTCTTCAAAACAATAACTACTCTACATATATATTAAAAATATGACAGATTTTTCTTTTCAATAATTTTTTTTTTTTTTAAATTAGCCATTTCTGCTTTCAACTAAAGAAACCAGTTGACAGAAAAACTGGTATAGTAAGAGAGGTAGAGGCAACAGTGCCTGAGGAAAATGAAGGATATTTGGAATTTATCTAATTGTAACAGGGTGAAAAGATAGTGAGATGCCTAAAAATATTTCATGATGTGTAACCAAATGCCCACAGTACATACATGTCTCTCCTATAATCAAATCTTAGTCAAAACCCTACACTGCCCCCAAAGATCCTTATAATCAATCATCCAGAAGTACCTCCATGATCTGGCCCCATAATTTAACTCAGCTTCTAATACTCTCTTCCTCATTTATTGACTGTGGTCACATGGACCTTTGTTATTCCCAGAACCAAGCAGACAACATTCCTACCACTCAAAGCTTTTACATGACTATCCCTTCCTTTTGCAAATATCTAAATATCTCCCTCACCTCCTTCAAGTCTTTGCTTAAATGTCACCTTTTCAATGAGGCCTATCTTTATCATCCTATTTATAACTGAACCTCACTCTACCCCTCATCACTGTACTCCTGATCTCTCTGATCCTTTTAGGTATTTTCTATTTCCATAGAACTCATCACCTTTTAATATATATAATGTACTACTTATTTATTAAATGTAAGTTCTTTGCGGTCAAGGATCTTTCTGGAACATGAAGTGGCTGCTTCCATAGAACAATGAAAGGCAATGAAAAACATGGCTGTCCCTGATGGTTAACAAAGAAATCAAAGCATGTTTGTCTCAAGGTACAGCATTAAAGTTAGGATTTTCTGTGATATACAACTTATCCCTACAGAACTGAAATTTCTGAAATGTAATGTCAGACTAATTCTGCCAGACGAAACTATTTAATTCATAGCATTACCAGGTTTGGACACTTTCACGACTTTGTCTCTGGCATTAGGATGTTTCTTCCTTAGGTGTCCAGGTGGGGACTTTTTGAATTTTAGTTAAGTACAATCACTCCATTAATTAATTAATTAATCAATCAATCAACTAATTAATTTTTAAATGATTTTTTTTCAAAGACTGGCTTTATTTATTTGTTTGTTTTTTAATTCTCACCAAAGAATATTTTTCCATTGATTTTTAGAGGGGGGTGTGGGGAGAGAAACATCGATGTGAGAGAGACACATGGATTGGCTGCCTCCTGCAACCGAGGTACGTGCTCTGGACCAGAATCGAAGCCAGGACACTTTAGTCTGCAAGCCAACACTCTATCCACTGAAGAAACTGGTTAGGGCCACTCCATTAATTTAAAAGCATCTGTTTACCTCCAGTCCTGAGAAATTTCTCTAAAATGTTGCTCTAAAAGTAGTTCTTGCTCCATATTCTCTCCTAAAATTCCTATTAAAAAACACTGGATTCTATATCAATACAACATGTTGAAACTGTTGTTTTCCATCTGTTTATCCTTGTACTCCATCTTAGGAGAAACCCTTTGCTAGATCTTTCAGGACACTAATTTGCTCTCCAGCATTATTTATTCTGCCATTCAATCACTCTGTCTATAGAGTTTTGTTTTCAGGAAACAGCATCTTTATGTATCTCCTTAAGGATCAATATGCATTTTAGCCCTAGCCAGTTTAGCTCAGTGCATAGAATGTGGACCTGCAGACTGAAGGGTTCCAGATTCAATTCTAGTCAAGGGCACATACCTCAGTTGAAGGCTTGATCCCCAGCCCTGGTTGGGGAGTGTGCAGGAGGCAACCAGTCAATGTGCCTCTCTCACATTAATGTTTCTCTCTCTCTCTGTCTCGCTGCTTCTTTCCACTCTCTCTCTCTCTCTAAAAAAAAAAAAGGAAAAATATCCTCACATGAGAATTAACAAAGAAAATTTTATTTTATGCATAATTTAGAAAATCGTAATTCTTTCTAGGTATAACAAGCTATCTAAGAGAATACCCTCTCTAACTGACCCAAATGCCCACATTCACTGCTTTATTCAAGCAGACACCTTTATGTTTGCTGCCTTATATGGTGTAGGGAGAGAATGCTGAAGTCCTTATTTGTATCTGCCACTTCCAAGCCTAAAGCCTATGTGGTCATTTCATGTGGCCTTTGGTTTACTTCTTCAATTTGATCCTATCTGCTTTTATAATTTTTCAGAAACTCCACTTAACCTCCAGTCCACCAAAGGCACTTATTTTTGTACTCCAGTGTTACTTTTTATGCCAACACATTGTTTAAAAAACGTGGGGGGGATGGAATAAGATGAATCTGGACCCTAAGTGAAAAGCTGGAGCTGTGTTACTGACAGCAGCATTTTGAGGAGACTTACTTCTTACAACCTAGATAAATGGAACTGTACTAGTCCTTGTCCATAAAACCTGGTTGTTCAGCTCTCCCTGATGATTCTGTGACAGACTTCCTGTTGCTTGCAATCAGGGAACACATCATACTAAACTCACTTTGTGGAAACTAGGTATATTTTTATAAGTAGAGAGTCCCACAAAATAATATTATATTTCACAAAGGGATGGAAGTAAATAGTTACAGAAAAACACTAACTTAAGGAAATCTATAATTTACGACTTCAACAAGGTGATTTCTTACCAGTGCCAATCCATAAAACAATATTCATTACCAATCCATGAAAACAAAAACCCACAAACAGAGAACTTAACTCACTACATTGTTGTGACTTGCACTGTTAAATAATCAGAGCACTTAAAATCTATTGCAACTTTCATCCAATCATTTCATTAGCATAATACAGTTCTGTTAATTGTCAGTTCTTTATCTTTACCCTAAAGCATATTTTTAATTCGAAAAGTACCACTTTATTTACCCGAATAAAAATTTCCAATTCAGTTTTTCTTCTTTTTTCAATTTTCTCTGCCTCAATTTGGCAAGTGTGACAAATGTACAGATGGTTGACAGCTGGTCCTCCTCCATACCTAAAGCATAAAAATTTTGTAATTATGACAATCTTGAAAAAAGCTGATGCTCTAGCAAATTTGTCTCCAACTTTTAGTCAGTGGTTAAGTACCTAGTAAATAAATCCTCACAGAAAAATTCTCAGTCATATTTAAACTAATGTAAAAATCAAATAATCCTAATGATTTGACATTATGTTTATCAGGGTCAATGACTTTATCAGTTTATTAACTAATAACCTGCTTTACCTGTATTTTAACTTTCCCTTATAATTACTTCTGCTACAAAAATATGTTTGAAGCCACAACAAAACCAAGTAAAAGAGGTAGTTTTCAAAATTAGCATACAACATATAAATCTTACTTATATAGCCATAGTCTTCATCAACTTTTTATCAGAAAGAAGCTTCCCCTGACCTCTCAACTAAGAATTTATGGAATAAATTATTTTCAATATTTCACTAAGGAAAACACAACAAGGAAATTACATGTGAATGCTTTAAAATAAAATTTAAAACTTTAAAATTTAAGAGTTATATATCACAGAATACTTTTATAGATTCAGATAACCAGCACGTAAGAATTAGAATTAATTATGTAAGCTATAAAATCTAGTGACTCACACTCTGAATAAATGAAGGAAAAAGGGAATATTCTACCTAAGCAACATAAAACACAAAAAGCATATATAAAATAATCCAATTTTAACGAGTTCCACAACAAACTGATTTTTGCGATACCATATTGTTTGATTTAAAAAAAACACACCTGCTATATAGGTTATCCCAAATGTTCTGAGGCAGCATCAAAACCAGGTCTTCAATATAACTAGCTTTTCGTGGAGGAATACCTAAAAAAATGTTTACATGGGTCTATTTCATTTTTAATTGCTTTATATTACTCTCAAAGGTTAAACTCATTTTTTAACTGATTAATCATTGGCATTTTTCAATCATTATTCTTGAAACCCCTCCAAAAAAGTTAAAAATTAATAAGTATAAGTATTTTTGGTGATTATGCTCCTAAAGTTAAGTGTATTTCTTGAAATAGAGAAATATCAGTCAACCAAGATCTTCAAGTATTTAAGTTATGTATACTTTACTAAGCCTTGATTATGTTTTGGGGGGAAATCAAAGATAAGTAAGAAACAATCTTTCCTTCATGGAGCTTACAAGGTAGCAGAAAAAATGAGACACTTACAGAAATCAATGTAATAAAAGCCAGGCACAGACAAATGGCATAAAAGATTCACAGGGAGATTTAGAACAGAAGGAGCCTTTGGTTAGTAGTTCAAGTTTGAAAATGAGAAAAATTCACATAATGATATATTTTCAAGGTTTAGGTTTCTAAATCCAATACAGGATATCCCTACTATCTCTTCATTTCACTGAAAAAATAATGAGAATATCAATTCTTCAATCATGAAATATAATTAAGGTGCCACACTAAAGTGTCATTTTTCATGGGAACAAACATTAACATAGCCAATCACAAAGGCATAAATTATATTTAGCAAATAACTATATGAGGTTTTTTGTTAAATTCTAAGTACATTTTTATACTCAGGAGAAGAGAGAGCCTTTTATTTAGACAAAAGGGATAGGAGCCACAGATACAGTTGGTAGCTGGGTGCCTCCTGGGTGAGAAAAATGATCTTCTATATATATAAAAGCTTAAGCAACCATTACAAACAAACTACCAGAACGACCAGTCGCTATGATGTGCACTGACCACCAGGGGGCAGATGCTCAATGCAGGATCTGCTCCCTGGTAGTCAGTGCACTCCCACAGCCAACCTCCAGCAGTTGGCAGACCCCAATTGCCTGGTCAGGGCCAAGCCCTGGGCTAGAATGGGGATTTGGGGGTGGGTGGCTGGGAGTGGGTGGCGGTGGACATGGCCCCTTTCCCAGGGGGCCCGAGGGTCGGCTCCCTCCTGAAACCGGTGGCCAACCTCCCATGGTCCCTCCCCCCACCTCTGTCCCTACTCCCCTGCTGGCAGGCCCCGATCGGCCCTGATCACTGGCCAAGCCTAGGGACCCCACCCGTGCATGAATTTCATGCACTGGGCCTCTAGTGTGTAATATAAGCGATCACTGTGTATCTTAACTGGTTGTTGATGTATCTGTCTCTACTATGAAATCAAGAGCTTTGAGAACAGAAGTAGTGTCTGCTATTCTCAGGTTCTAGCACAGGGTTTGGAACAGGTACTCAATACTTATCTGTTCTATGAAGAAGCTACAGATTGCCTATAATT